AACAAATTCCTTAAGAAGAAGGATGTGATTGTGTTTTAAGGTTTTAAAAGTAAGGAAGTAGGGACAAGATTCGAGGGTGAGAAACAAAAAAGGAAAAGAGAGAGAAAGGGGTTATGCAACGGTATTAAAGTGGCAAAGCAATGGTTGTTAAAGAGGGTTAGGGTTTCGATTAAGTCTTAAAAAGAAAAGGAGGAAAGAGTCGTTCGAGTAAAGAGAGAAAATAAATGAGAGGATTAAGGAGAAAGAGAGAGAAAATGAAGCTTTTATACTTAGGGCAACGAGAAGTTTAGGGTTCTAAGTGACAACATTTGGAATAGCAAAATGAAGTTACTAATGGGCTTCAAATTATGTGAGCTGTCATTTTGGGCTTAGATTAAGTAGATCTGAAGATGGTCTTTGCCCATGTTGGGCTTGGTCAATGAAATGGACCAAAAGAGAAGTGCGGACCTTGTTCGTAGAACTCGTCTGTTCGGAAGTCCCTAGTCCATGTTTTGGTATATTTTGAATCCTTTGGTTTATTAGGCTTTGCTTGCATATTTATTTCTTTATTTGTTTGTTTGTTTTTTGTTTTGTGTTTATGTATTTAGTTTCTTGAGTTTTTCTCCCACTAATATATATAATATGATTTTTTTTCTTATGAAGAACTTAGTTATATAAAATATTATATGATAAAATATATAAAGGTACATAAAACAAATACGTGATTAGTTTTTACACATTGCATGACTAATTTTTAAGAATTGCTTAACTGACTTTAGGCATTACTTGACTAAGTATTGTATGACTGGTTGATATGACATTACGTGACTAGTTGATAGGTATTGTGTGACTTGTTAGTAAGGCATTACGTGACTAGTTAGTAAGGTATTGTGTGACTTAGACATTGCTCAAAAATCAGTTACGCAATGCCTAAAACTAATCATGTAATGCCTAAGAACTAGTCACGTAGTGATTAAGTCACGTAATCCCTAAAAACTAATCTCACAATACTTAAAAACTAGTCTAATCAATTTGAACTCCTTAACTTTTGAGGTTTTATGAATAAACCAATAAACTCAAGAATCTAAAACACATACTTTTTTTTTGTTAAGTCATAAAATTGTGCATTTCATAAAAGATGGATTACAAAACTCCATAACTCTTCAAAGTAAGACAAAATATATCCCTATCGAAAGGGCCTTATTCATTCCCTTTATGCAAAAATAAAATATACTCCATTTACAAAATATTCCCTGAACAATTTCAACTCAAAATCCTTAGCAAACATGCTTAACAATCATCCTAATCCTAGACACAACAAAATTGTGAACCACCATAAAACCCATCAAATATGCTTTAGTTGTTTCTTCTCCCTGAGCCCATCATCTTAACCAATTCGATCCAACTCATCAGTACAGGCATCTCCAAAAAGCATTCAGTTACCACATTCATCATGCTGCTTGCAATCACCATAGAAGTGTAAAATCGTTGTTCATCGCCCTTGAGAACCCTAAGATCCACCATCCAAAAAAAAAAACGAAATAAGAAAAAGCTTGATATCATCTCTACTATTTGGATAGCGAGATAGACAGTATTTGACTAGAGAGAAAAATCAAGATTTAATTTTGAAATTTTTATCTGACTGGTGGGATAGAAAAAATTGAAATCATTTTAATTTGTCTAAAATTGTTTAAAAGGTATTGTTGTCAAGTTATGTCAAAATTGATTAAAAATAGTTAAAATTATAAAAAATAACATTTTTGAATTGAACTTATGAGGAAGGTTATTTCTCACAATTTCTTTAAAATACAAAGCTTGAGCATCAAGCTCTAAAATCAAGTTAAACTCGAGCACGGGCGTTGTATCAGCCTTGCTCAGCTCAATACCAACTTAGGTGGAATAAAAACCAATAAAATACAAGGTTAAGTATGACTAGGACTAGGATAAAGCCCTTACTTCTTCCCATGATAATAATGCAATGCTATTAGGATAAGCCCCCTTTAAAGTACACAAAGCATTTCTTGGACAACAATTAGACAAATCCAGTTCAACTAATCGATAATTGCTTGTATATCTTAAACTTGGTCCTCTTCCATGTTGCACATACAACTCTATGTAGCAACTTGTCACATAATTAATAAACGGGTTCAACTTTCAAGTGTTTCATATAAGTGCACGAGTATTCGATTTAATATATAGTAGATATTTAAATCTCTTATTTAAGATAGACTTAATTCCCTTTCCATGAAAATATATATAAAAAAAACTTGAATATAATATTTACATCTTTTCTTACAAAAGACAAAATAAAATTAATAACTTAAAATCTTGGATTATTTGAAAAGCATAATAAAGCTTTTTTTTTTTGTCTAAAAATTTTTACTTCCAACAAAATAGACTTCAAGTTTGATAGAGCCCAAGAAAAGAGAGAGTACTGTTAGTCTATTAGTGGAATACAAGCTCAAATTTGAGAATATTGGGTATGTTTTCTCTTTTCATCCCTAACATTTGCATTTATTGAGCCTAGGGATGACTAAGTTAAAAAAAAATATTGAAACTAAAACAACTCAATTTTAATAAACCCAAAAATAAATTATTACTTTAGTGATTACTTAAATAGCTGGCAAACAATCACTTTCCACCAACAAATTATTAAAGCCCTTAGCTAACTCCCAACTAGGGACGAAACTAGTCAAATTTTATTAAAGAGGTTAAAGACGAGAAGAAATAAGGGTTAAAAAGTTTTAAAATTAATATGTTAAATTTAACCAATAATCAAAAATTTTATAATAGATAATAATTTTATACAATAAGTAAATAAAAAAGAATAAGAAAAGAACGACTTATAATAATTTTTTTTAAAAAAGTTATGCTCGATAATGTTTTCTGAATATTAATTCATCAATTATTAACTCTATAATAAAAAAACTAGTAATGTCTTTTTCAATATAAATATTTAAATTATTTACAAGAAACTCATTATCCATTTTGTTTCAAAGTGTTATTTTTATAATTTTCATTATTGAAAAATTCTCTCTTTAGTTATTGTAAAAAATAAAATACATAATAAAAAAAAGAACATGATAAATAAAATATAAAATCTACATAACAAAAAAGAAAAGAAAACATGGTTGATGTTTTGTAAAAATTTAAAAAAAAATCTATAAAAATTATAAACATATGAGCAAATAAAATAATAAAATAATAAAAATAGAAAAAGAAGAGAACAGAAAAAATATATAAAAAATAAAATATTTTAAAATTTTGGAGTGGGGGAGTCTATTATGCTCCGCTCCTACTCCCAACCAAACAAAATAACCCATATCTCCCCATGAAGAGATCCTGCCACATTCCTAACTCTCCTAACCGCACTTGGCACTACAATTCCCTCACAATCCTGAACCACCATACCAATCCTCGTGCCTTTTCATCCTTCATGATTTGCTGCATCATCATTAAACTTGAAATGGGAAGTTCGTATGGTGGGAGCTCAATTTGGGACTTGTAACGTAAAGCACGATGAGGGACATCGAAAGTGAATATGATGACACCCCTTCAACAACCAAATTCGTTTATCCATTACCAGAGTGCTTAGCAAATACAAAGCATGGAACACAACATGTTGTATCTTTTGTTGGAGAATATTTCAACCAATCAAGATACAGCTTAAATCAAGCGCAAATAAATTGTGGACCATTCTTTTCATTTGTTGGATAAGTATCATTTTGTGGAATCACTTTATATGGACCAAGCCTAAGATAAGTTCTGTGTATTGCATCCCTTTGGTCTTTTAAGTAATCACTTATTGACTTACATAATCTTAGATCACACTCTAAGAAATGATCATTAAATCCTTTAAGTTCGATATTGGCAAACTTAGGTGAAATTTCAGATAAGGAGATCTATGTTTTGAAAAATTGAAAACTTTTGGATGAGGATTATAAACATTTATAGTATACATGCCAAGAATGGGAATGTTAACATTGTCTTGTAGAGATGTAAAAATCAATTTTTGAATTAATAATGGCGAGCTCATTTTGTATCTATTTAATTTTTTTAAAAAATAAAATTATTAAATTTTTTTAAATATTTTAATCACATTCTTATTCAGTTTTAAGTTAAATCTTCCAAATTGTGATTAATAATGAACCATGCATATTAATAATTGAACAAACTCACATAGCAATAATAATATAACCTAACTTTGACATTATGTTTTGATTGTCATTTTTACCTATAAGAGAATAAAAGTATTCCTATTAAATTAAAATATATAACAATAATTGATCCAAATTATCCTTTATAAATTTAAATATTATTAATATAAAATAAACAATTTAGTATAATTATTTGGTTTACAGAGTAGAAAGGGATTTCAAATTTATATGAGTTAAAGGATAAGATTAAAAAAAACTAAAAGGAAAAAACAGTTTAAAAAACATGAACGGTTTCTATTAAGAAAAAAAATTGTATGAGTTAACAAAACAACCAACAAGGAAAGACTTGAAGGTTTTTATAAGAAAAAACACAAAGGAGAAAACGGAAACAGGAAGGGAAAAAAGGGAATGATTTGAAGGGTTTTTACTAAAAAAAAAAGAATTTGAACTTAATAGGGATTAAATGAGTTTTTTAAAATTTAGATTAAATTTCTTACCATTACTTTAAAGTAGTTTATTTGAATTATTTAAAAGTGAGAGGTTATATATTTTGAATTTTATAAATATAAAATAAAATATATATATAAATTCCCCGTCACCTCTCCCCCTCCGACTTTGTACCATGAGTGAGTACAGTATGGTGTGTAAAAATGCAAACGAACGCTTTCTGTGAAAATAACTCACCACTTGTCATACATGTAGGATAATAAATTTCGTAACACTCTTTAACACTCAGGTCAGACCACGTTGGTCTTAGATGAGTATAGTAGCTCGAGGACTGATGTACGCAAGTATCAATATCAATATTAAACTTGGGCCTATAGCTCCAAGCCAGGCCTGTCGTCATTTTCCTTTGGTGATTTGCTTTTATCCAAAAGAAGATTCTACAAGAAAATGACGCCATACCCTGAGTTGAGTAAGAATGCAGTGAAGCAATGCTCGCAGCAGCATTAATATCTTCGTCACCGTGCAGAATCTTCTCCAGATATCTTGTTCCGAAGCCCTCTTCCTTTACCCTTTCACGCGTTCTCTCTCCCTCTGCTGCCCGCTTTTCAATCCGATCAATGGCTGACTCTGCGTTTAAGAAAGTTCAGATTCAGAGAGACGATACTGTCAGTTCAACTTTCCTTTTCCTTTCCTATTTGTTTTTTTTTAACAGTATGTAAATTATGGGTTTCGCATTTTTGAATAGTTTTGATTTTTGGGTTGTTGAAATGCTTATATTTGAGTAGTGGAAAATGTTTGTTAGACTCGGTTTGGTTGGTATTCGTGCTTGTGCATGAATTTTTTAAGAGAACTGAAAACAAAAATTGATGTTTGTATTGAGTAATCATGTTAGAATTAGTGGTGCATTTTAGTTTTATGATCATTTTTAAATACTAACAAAATTGTTTTCTACTTTTTGCTTTTCATTTGAGCATCTTATATGAAGCAAAACGTAAGTAGTAAAAGCAAAAATGGAATCGAACGGAGCCTTATTGATTTGGGTTGTTCTCACTATTCTTTGAAAAAAATTGTAATGATCAGGCATTTGACGCATATGTGGTTGGCAAAGAAGATGCGCCTGGAATTGTTGTTCTTCAAGAGTGGTGGGGTGTGGATTTTGAGATAAAAAATCATGCCCTGAAGATCTCCCAGCTGGACTCAGGATTCAAAGCTCTTATTCCAGAGTAAGTATTACAGTCCACAATGCTTTTTCTTTTGGCTCAATTGTGATAAGCTTTGGTCACCTGGCATTTGCTGCATTTGAATGCTAATTCTTTTTCTTTTCTCACCTTGTTTCAGTCTGTATCGAGGAAAGGTTGGTCTGGATGTTGCAGAAGCACAACACCTAATGAATGGTCTTGACTGGCAAGGTGCTGTAAAGGATATCCGTGCTTCGGTCAACTGGCTTAAGGCTAATGGCTCAAAGAAGGTGTGCCACTGGTTATTCATTGTCAATTTTGTTACAGCCTTATGCTTACTTAAAGCATGTTTAAAGTTCAACACTCCACTGTGTGGACTGTTCTGGTGCTTATTTGACTGAGACAAGTGGAAACAAATATATGAAGCTGAGATAAATTTAATACTTTTCTATTGTTTGGATAGCTAAGTGAATAGAGAAGCTGAAAGAAGATTAAATATTATGGGCAAGCTGTCATCCTCTTTATCTAAAAAGAGGTTTAAGGGAAATGAGATTTAAATATTGTTAATTCTTCTCCTTTAAAGAAGGTAATAAAAAGAAAGCTGAATATATAGTGGATCAATGATTTCATAATTGCAATTTACCTCTTATTTACTTACCATTTTTCTTATTCAAACAACAAAACGGGCATCGCCTTCATCTCCAATATCCTCTCATCTCTTCTCTTTTACATTTTATTATTTCCCTTGTCTCTTCAGTTCTCCTCTAAGTTTTACTGCCAAACAGGTTCATGATTCTCCTATGCAAATTTTAAAGTCTTTTATTCTTAAATGTGTACCATGATTTTGTGCTGCATTTTCAATTACTTTGTTTTATGATTGTTGTCAGCCTTCATTTTCTGTTAAGAGGTGAATATTTGATTTATTACATCTATGCTGCTTTATGTCAACTAAATTTCCTGTGAAGTTCAAAACATTGGTCAGTGAGCAATCTCTGATTTCATTGCAATAGGTTGGTGTGACTGGGTTTTGCATGGGGGGTGCTCTCTCTATTGCAAGTTCTGTTTTAGTTCCTGAAGTTGATGCTGTTGTTGCATTTTATGGGGTTCCTTCTCCAGAACTTGCAGACCCTGCCCTGGCCAAAGCACCTGTTCAAGCTCATTTTGGAGAACTTGATAACTTTGTTGGATTTTCAGATGTGACGGTATGGCAATTCTTTACTCTCCCCATTTTAACTTTCACCATTTGTTTGTAGTTGTATTTAGAAATAAATTTCATGTCTGTGACTTAGTTGTTGAAGTTACTACTCTGGAAATGACCGTTAATTTGTTTCTTTGAGAATAAAAAATTTTCCACCACCACACATTCCATAATGAGAGCTTAGTTGCTAGGTTCAGTTGCAAGTCTTTCTAGAAAAGCTAGGAATAATATTGTCCAAAAGTTTAACACCCACTTTGGTCTTTCTGTTTTTTTATGTTCACAAAGGGTGAAAGTTCTATATTTTAAGAATTAATTTGGTAGTCATTTATAAGAATAATTTTGAGGATAACTATTCTTAAATTCCATGTAATTTGAGAACCCATACTATGCCAAATGTACAGCTATCTAAAATGATATTTGCTCTTTAAATTGTTTTTTCTTCTTCTCTCTGGAAACACTCTTTGAGACATGATGACCAAAAAACCTGAAGACTGATGGCTTGTGCAAAGTTGTTTTGGTCCTTCATAACCACTTCAAAATCTACTTGTTGGGGGTAAGATTTTATCACATGAGAAAATTTTATCACAAGGGTGCTTCTTTTTGTTTGATTCACCTTGCTCTAAAAGTGTCAAATTTTATCTGAACCATGAGAAAATTTTGTTAATAAGTTAATCTCACAAGGTAAATTCACTTCCTTTTCCTCCCAAAGCCCTATCTCCAACATCTTCAGCCTGATTGTAATTAGGCCTCCCTATGTCAATTGACAATATGAATCCTTTCTGAAACCCTATTTTATAAGACCTTTCCATCTTAGAAGTATGATTGAAGAAACTTGGTAAGTCTTATTCCTTGGGGACATAAGGCAAGAAAATGACTTTAAAGTTTACTTTGGAACCCAGAACTTAATCCAGTGGATGTTTATCATAGAATTTTGATTTCTTGTTTGCAAATATTTGTTGACCATATAACAAGTCTGATAGACGAACAACCGGATGGATTGGTTCCTTATTCACTGGGTTGAAGTCTTTGGATATTACATTATTACTGTAGTTTCTTGAATTCATACTATGAGGTTGTAGATTTCATATATCCAAGTTGTCTCCTTGCATATGATCCTTTCTTCTCCCCTTCAAGGGGGGAAATACAAACTAACCTCCTGCCCATGGTGTTAGCATTAGTTGTATTATTCTTTTTCTTTTATTTGTTTTTCTAAGAGGTGCTTCTTCCTTGACGATCAAGGTTTTTATTTCTTGTTTTGGTGCGCATATCTATCTAATGAGTAGTTCTAGAGGTTAACAACACAATGGATTCGTTTCATGATTATTTGTATTTAAGTCTCTAAGGACATCATTGCTTTTTCTTAGTGGAAAGAGAGAGGGCAGGAAGTGGGGGGTTGATGCTTCTGCTGTAGTGAAGAATTATGAAACAACCTGTTACAGTTACTAAGATTAATAGGAAGAAAACTAGTGTTTTATGAAGAAGGTATAACCCCCTCTGCAATCTGTGGTCTACCCTTAATTTTTTGTTGCTTTTTTTGAATTTATTTTCTATTTTTACTCCTTTTTTCTCTTTTTTTTTTTTTTCATTTGTTTCCTCTGTCCTGTCCACCTAATGAAAACGTCCGAACCGACTCAAGAAACGAAAAAATGCAGCTAGCCGTTGCCAGCAAGCATGCCTGATCTAGCTGCTTCTGGCGCTCCAAGCAGCCAGATCTAGCTACAGGGGGCGCCATTTTGGTGCTCAGGGCAGCCACATCTGACCCCTGCTCTGTTGTTTTGGCCCCTCCAATGGCCTTAGCTAGCTGTTGAATCACTGTTTTTTGTTTTTTTAGTTCAAAATTGATCTCTGGCAATTCTAACAATGGAAAATAAGAAGTTCCGGCCAACATTCTCTCTCTTGGATGAAGGATACAACTAGAATTTAATTAAATGTACAAGGACAAAATTATACAATAAACAGTTCTATTCCAAATGGATGAGGAATAGCCATTCTGAGGTGAGTAAAGAATGGCTATTATTGGGTTTGACTGGAATAGACTCGTGGACCAGAATCATTATTCTTGCCCAAAGATTGAACTAATCATTGGAACCATTCTGAGGTGAGTAAAGAATGGCTATTATTGAGTTTGACTGGAATAGACTCGTGGACCAGAATCATTATTCTTGCCCAAAGATTGAACTAATCATTGGAACCAACATATCACACAGAACAAAGCCTGAATGGAATGGCCTTTCAAGCCAACCAAACATGCTTTACATACATCATTTCTTTCCTTAGGGGAAAGTGAGGGCAGGAAGTGGGGGTGCAGATGCCTCTGCTGTAGTGAAGAATTATGAAACAACCTGTTACAGTTACTATCATCAATAGGAAGACAACTAGTATCTTATGAAGGATAGGTACAACCTGTTCTGCTATCTGTGGTCTATCCATGCCAACACCAAACACACTATAAACATGGTTGGATATGTATCAACTATGGAGTAGCAAGGTGAAACATGATAATAAGCAGTTTCAACAAGGGAGAATGCTTAGACTTGGATAGTTGTGGAAGCCTGGTTGTATTTTTAGTGGCAGTGATAGATTCTCGACCAGTGAGATGGATGGAAGGTCGCACCTCATGTTAAGGGAAAAAAAATATTGAATAATGTGCATGAATCTCTGATATTTGCATTAAATATCTTTTAATGTAAAAAAAAAATTAAAAATATACTCAAAGGTAATGTGGAATGTACAGAGAGAGAGAGTTGTAGTGGTAGGCTCTCAAAACAAGAGAACATAATTTTGGGAATCCCTGAAAAGGAAAGATATGCATTCAATCGAGATGAAGGGAATAATTTTTTTATTATTTCACCCTGTTGAGTCAGTATCCTAAAATCCTTTGAAATTTGCAATGTCATTTCATTCATATTTCTGTTCTATCCACAAGCCATGTTCATGTCCATTCCTAACTTATGTCTCTTACCGGTAGCATGATTTTGATAAACCATTTTGTTTCAATCTGCATTTCTTGAATTGGTGAGCAGAATGGAAAGTATTTATGACTCATGTCTCTTTCTAAGAATTATTCATGTAGGGAAATAGACTTCTATTTTTAGTAGTCTTCTGGATGCTTATTGCTTGGATTTTATTTTAAAACATGCTATCAATAGAAAGTTTGAAAGACTATTTTTGATTATATGAGGTTATTTAGTTTCGCACATTGAATTCTAATAATTTGTCTTTAGTAAATCTGATTGGTGATTATTACGAGGGAAGAGACATAATCAAACCATAATAGGATGATTATAAAAACGTATACAAGAAATTAGTTATTAGGTTTTGCAATGAACAATTTTACTAGATGAAGCTTTTAAAATTGACCAGGAACCTAGCACAGTGGCGTACTTCATTATTACTCCCAGAACTTTGCCTACATGTAAATTGTTGATGGAAAGAGAGAATGCATTTTCGTTTTTGGCCACAAGGAAGAGAGTAAATTTTTGAATTTGTCTTTGTTTTCGTGCTATAGGGATTGGATGTGATGCATGTCCTGTTATTAATTTGTTGATATAATGATCATATAGCTGGTTTCAATAGGTTCTTATTTTTGTTACTTTTTTTTTACTATTTGCTGTTTACTTCATATGTTGTTGTAAAGAGAAGCATTAAAAAAATGTAATATCAAGTTAAAAATAACTAAATGATTATAAAGTAGCACATTCAAATATCATAATTTCCTATAGAAGTAAAACAATACTTTTTGTCGAGCATGAAGGTAACTTTTACTTTCATTGTTTTTTTGTCAAGCATGAAAGTAACTTTTGCTTTCAATTTTTGAGTTTTGGTTTTCTCAAAGGCAATTGTTAAAGTTGAAGGGGATTCGAATCATGTTAAGATGAATCATAAGCAATGGAATATTAAAATTTTAATCTCTTAAGCTATGGGTCATTTTAATGGAAACTAATTTAGAAAAACCACAAAAAGAAGATTTTTAATATACTTGAAAGTTTGATGTTTACTATCTTTGGTGGAGTGTTCTTTGGGTTTTCATTTTAGACTTTTGTACACCAACTAAGACATATCAAACAATAATAGTATAATTATCCTATCTCTAATAATGATCTACACAATGATTTGTCAAAATCTCTATACTAAGAGTGTGTAAATCCTTAAGCTAAAGTTTGTGCTAGCAAATTTTCAACTTTGAGCTTTTTGATGTTTTTTTTTTAGCTGTGATCCTATTTTAACACATAAGAAAGTAAAAACAGAACTCTTTTATATGTTCAAGAGGTAGCTAAAGGATTTTTTTTATAAGGTGAATTGACCTGCTTCATATCCAAAGATTAAAAAATGTCTTGGGTTAATTGTACTTTTGTTTAATTCTCCGTCAAATCATATTTGATTTAGTCCAATATTTAATTGGATTAATTTATTATAAAATTAAGTAAATCACATCCAATTGAATTCAAATTAATTTTGATGATTCATCTTATGTGTGTAACTCATTAAGTGCCTAATGTGTTGATAATAAATATAAATTAAGTAAATTAAAAGTTTATATTTATATTTCTATATCATGAGTGGCATCTAGCAATATATTACGGTCACTCAAATGTGAAAAGAGTCAATATGGTTTGATTAACTTTTCGGTGTACATTATTTCAATGTAATTTGATCCTTTCATCATATATCTCGAATAGATAAAAGCTTGGCTCGGTGTATACCTTTTAACTTATTTATATTAGTCTTACAGCTTTCATATTGACCTATTAAGATTGCCTTGGCCAAGGATTTTTAGTCAACATAAGTCGAGAAAATAAGATGTCTCTTTAAAATCAATTAGAATGATGAATCTTTTCTAAACTACTTATTTATCTTTACATGCTTCATGCCACACTAAAAAATATCTTATTTAGGCATCTTGTTACTTCCAAACTCATAGAGGTGAAATCAAAACATGAAAATTCACATATAAGATGATCTGGTATCACAAGTTTAAGGATTATTTACACGATTGACACATAAGAGTATTTCTATAGACATTTGAGTAAAATATCAAATGGAACTCTTATAGTAGGTCATGTTCAGTGAACTTGTTTCTTAACAAGTACTTACATACTATCTTCAAATATCTCACATACTTCAACCTATGAGATCAGTCGTTTGCTTCCAAAATAAGGAAGCGTAACATGTATTAGTCTCTGAGCATTGTCAATATGTTATTCTTGATAATACAATAACCAAGAATATATTTTAGAACAATGCTCACATACATAAGAATTTGATAATTATAATTTTTATAATTTCTTTATAAGGACATTATATTTTAAGGACTATATTTACATAAGTCTTTAATAACTCGTTATAAATAAACTCATAGATCAAGGAATATCTCATACATTATATAAAATTTTCATAATGTATTAAACATGAAATATGGTTAATTAATATAGTGATGTACAAGCATAAAACCGATTGGCTTGCAAGGTTTACACTAAAAAAAGCAATGAACAATAGGAGTGGATATTTCAATGAATATTATAAGTAGTAGACAATTAACTCCCTAATTGATGGTTTGTCAGGCTGCGAAGGCTTTGGAGGAAAAGCTGAAAGCATCAGGAATTCCGTGTGAGCTGCATATCTATCCAGGCAATGCACATGCCTTTATGAACAGATCCCCTGAAGGTCTAGAAAGGGGGAAGGGCATGGGAATGCCTGATGGGGATGAAGCTGCAGTCCAGGTTGCATGGTCTCGATTCCAATCATGGATGACTCGTTTCTTGTCATCTTAATTTGCTTTCGTAGTTTATTATGACGTGTGCTTCTTGTTCTAGCATAATTATCAAATATCTCACTGGTTTTAAGCAGAGCTATAAACAAGCGTGGGGTTTGCTGCCATATATACTGAGAGGTATTGGTTTGAAGACAACCTTGAAAATCAAATTGGGTATTGTAAGTCCTATAATAATCTGTATTTGCATGTATACTATTTTCCTAATGCGTTTGGCCGTAACTCTATCTTGATATGAACTCAGATTTGTACTGTTTGTCCCTCTCTCTCTCTCATATACTAAATAAGCTTTTGAATTTTCCCACTTTATTTATCTATTGTACTCAAATAAGCACCTATTTTACAATTTGTATTTGTATAAGTTTTAACGTCACGTAATCTTAATAATTGTTGATCTGAATATCAACATAAGTTTTATTACGTGACAGTTGATTGAGTTGGAAAAGTTTATGTCCGAGACAGTTATTTAATTAATTGTCATGTCAAAAAAACAAAAAGATTTGTTTTGAGTAAAAATTATAAAATAGATATGTATTTAAGTACAATAAAATAATAGTTGAGTTTAAAAAGTTTAAATATTTTAGATGCTTATTTATTATTTAGCTTCTTTCT